GGGGAGTGACACACGAAGGGGGGAGCAACCCTGGGTCCGTGAAGGAGGGGCTGCTAGTGGGCTCCCGGATACCTCAACCCAGATCAGCTCAGCGGCACGGGCGACAGCGCCGGAGCTACCCCTAGGATCACACACCCGGCGATAGCACCCGCCAGTGACCCCCTCCGCTGGTCCGGTGACCCGGCTGGTGGCTACCGCCCCTGCTACTGCGAGGCGCGTTACTCCTCGGAAGGGTAATATACAAAACTCGAGTGGTAACACAACCGCACACACATAGGGCCCTTTACACCGCCACCACAGTCCCTTCACTGAGGTACCCCTAACCTGACACCAACTCATCGACGCCTCTCTCATCATCCAACATCCGAGGGGAGCACCTCGGTGCCCCGCCCCTCCCGCCACCAGACCCAGGTCAGGTTTCAATTATGGCAGTACGGCACGTGAACCAGGACGTCTCCCTCCCCCTCCCCCTCCCGCCACCCACCCACCTTTCCGTGTCAAACATGAGCAGCCCCCAGTTCTCCATGGCGTACGACTTCCCTGGTACGGCAACCAGATCCAGCTTTGATAGAGGTAGCGCCATGCCCGTGTAGTTCAGGTAGAAGCTGAGGGGGGCATCCAGTAGTGCGGAGGTTGGAGAGGAGAGAGGCGAGAGGAGGCGAGAGGAGAGAGGAGAGAGGAGAGAGGGGAGAGGAGAGGCGAATGGAGTTGGAAAAAACGATTGCCGCCATATCCACGGCCGCAAACTGCTGATGGGGGTACAAAGCAACGACGAAACTGCGCAAAACGTAACGACCGTTTTATGACATTTGGGGGAGTGTGTATGTATGTTTCTGTGGGGGGGGAAGAGATAAGGAAAGCGATTAGGACAACGGGTGCCTGGCGTGGGGGAACTAATTATCTGGCCCTCGAAAAGAAATTCCTAAGGGTGGGGCCCTCGTGCGCGCGTGTGTGTATGTGTGTGTGCCGGGATAGAGGGGCACTACTTTAAATGATTGTACGATATCGATACAGAGCTTGCAATGTGTGAGGCATGTGTGTGTGGGGGTCGCGTGGTGTGACCGGGGTTGTACCCGGATTCGCTCATTCACCGCTCCGGGACCAGCTAGCCTGGTCATACACATACACACACGCATGCGTATGGCGGCCTCACCGCCGGGAAACTACCACAAACCAACACATCCTATACGGCTCAGGACACCTCCTAGGGCCCCACCCCACCCCCACCCGCTGTATTGGCTGACATCAACCGCCCACCCCAAAACACCCCCCACTCCCAAACACCCCCCACCCCCACCCCCTACCCCATGTACCTGTAGGCGGCCTCCGCAATACCCAGTGACCCCGCCAACCTCCTCGTCGCGTTCATGGAGGCGGGGCCCCACACCCGGATCTGCATACTGCTGCTGCTGCTACTGCCGCCGCTGTACATCCGGGGGTTGGGGGGTTGGGGGGAGAGGTGCTCAGGGGGTGGTGAGGATGTGGCCCTAGGGGTTGCGGGAGGTGGTCAACAAGGTGAGGGGGGTTGTGTGGTGGAGTGCCGAGTACACGAGGGGCGGAACAATGTGCTGGTAGTGGTAGTAACAGTTGAAGTGGTGGTCGGGAGGGGAACCAACCGCCCTCAGCCGCCGCATCACGACCAACACACGAACAGGGGGGCAAGTCTGGGTCACCTGATTCCCCCCTCTTACATTGGGAAGGTGGTGATGTTGGAGTTGAGGCTGGTCATGTTCCCGGCGGCAATGGCGAGCGCGTACACGGGCATCACCGGCGTGGTCTGACGGGAAGAGGGGGGAGGTAAGGGAGGGGGGAGAGGGAGGGGAAAAGGAGGGGTGAGGGGTGAGCCGCGGGAAGGCACCTGGGCGTGCACGTGCACCCACCCGCCCAACTGCAGGAGGACGTAGTACGGAAAGAGGGACGTGTGCAAAACCTTGGGAGACCTATGGAGGAGCGGGAACCCCCGGGGAGAGGCCCGGGTGAATGAGGCGGACAGTTGACACACACGACAGAGGGGCTCGACACGGAGCCCCAGCAGTTGCCGTACGTGTGAGGAGGAGGTCTCCTTCTCCCCTCCCCCTCCCTCACCGCGAAGGTCACCAGCTTGCGACCCCCGGTGGTGGTGGTGGTGGTGGCGGTGGTGGTGACGGGTACGGAGCTCAGTGGGGGGGTGTTGGACAGCACCGTCAGGTTGTCAGGAAGCTCCACAGCAACCGAAAAGTTGGCCTGACGGTTAGCAGTTGGCGGTTTACAGATAATTAGCGGTTATTGTATCACCGTACATGCATGCATACATTGTATCACCGTACATGCACTGTCTGCGCCCCCGCCCAGAAGCCGGGGGACCCCCCTCCACAGGGCCCATCGAGCCCCCTGAGGCCGGAAGGGGTTGGTGGCGCTAGCAGGGCTGTGGTGGTACACAGCTAGGTAGGGGGATCCGAGGTGAGGACCTGCTTGCTTGCGGGGGGCCGGGGACCGGCGCCGGCCGGGGCTGCTGGGGGCCTACACTGCAGTGGCAGGAGCAGGGAGAAGCAGCCGCCCCTTGCGCCCCAGGAACGTGTCCTCACCGCTAACAGAACAACAACAGACCCTGCAGCAGCCGGTGCACTGCGCTATTGCGACAATGATATCCTGGTGTGTATGTGTGCGTGTATGATGTGTGGAACAGGGGGGTATATCTTCACCCGTGGCAGCTACCCGGCGAAACCCTGCCTTCCCCGGTATTTCGGGGCACCCTCATCCAGTCACCCTAGTCAACTTCTCAGTGGATCGCTCAGGTTCCGCACCCACCACCAGTATCCAACGGAATCTGCCGGGTCGACAGCGCCCCAACTCCATTCCTGGTCGGCTCGCAGGTTAACTTTATCCCAGGTCACCACCGTCTATCAACTAGGGGCGCAATACCTTCCACCTTCAGAAGGATTTTCGAACCTGATAGGTCTCGATCCCGGGATCTCCCGGGGGCAATGGTCGCGCGTTACCAGTAGTGCCTAACCCTAGTATGTACCATGTATGTATGTACCATTTCCCCCCCCACACACACACACACACCAGCACTGACGTACCTTGTACCCCGGCGCATCAAAGCAGGGTAGGAGGTACCTGGCAAAGTTGTCCTCGAACTGGGTCGTCAGCAACACGCTGTTCGATGGTGCGGCTCCAACGGGTGTGTCCGCGACCCACGGGTCGGACATGAACAGTCCGAAGCCGTCCGAGGAGGGCCGTACACTTCCGGTGTAGGTGAGTGTGAGGCGCCACTGGTCTCCGGTGGCCAGCACCAGTCCATTCAGGTTGAGGACGATGGACTGGGAAGTGGCTGGTGGTAATGGTGGTGGCGGGAATCGATAAGGGGACGTGGAGGGCGGAAGGATGTCACCGGGGCGAGTTGGGTGGGACGTTTCGACATGACGTAGGTTGACTGCTGCCTGACGTAACGTGTACGACTCAATCCGGAACCCGGAGTTGCCCCGGCCGCCAGACAGACACGGCAGGTTCATAACTTTGCTTTCCAGGTCTGTACGACCACAACCAACCAGCCAGCTACACACACATCCGCACAGAGGTACTTAGCCCCAGCGGTGATCTCCTTTAACGCCCTCCCCCATTCGCATTGCAGCCGCCTTATGCCCCCCACGTCCCACAGCGCCCGCATCCAACCCGCAACATACCCCCACCAGCCCCCACTACCCGCTATCCAAAGCAACAGGGCCCTTCCATGGTCCACACACACCCCGCCCCCCCCCACACACACACCACTCCAAGCTTCCCAACGCAATCCCCCACTCACTCACCGCTTTGGATCGTGGCTACGGAGCACGCGGGGCTGCTGTCATTGCAGCCGCACAGGCACCGGGACAGCAGTGCAGCCGGCGGCGGCGGCGGCGGCGGCTGCTGCTGCAGCCGGCGGCGCCCTCCCGCAGCAGTCCCTTCGTTCTCCCTGCCGCTACTGCCGCTACTGCCCAGCTGCTCCACGTCCAGTCGGCTGATGTTGAGGTTTGCGGCATGCAGCACCAGACAGGAGGTGGGGGCCCCGGTCACCAAGAGCTGCAGGGAGGCCACGGCGCTGAAGGTGGGAGGGGGGGGGCTGGGGGCGGTACCGCTGGCGGGGGTGGGGGTGGTGAACGCCCCGTAGGCAGGCAGGGAGAGATGCAGCTGGTACGACTGGGGTACGGCACGAGGGTCCGCAGGCAGCGAGGACGACTGTGGCGTCGAGGGCAGGGCGGGAGACGCGAGGTGAGTTGCATGAGGGGACATCAAGCCGGGGACCCATGGAGGGGTCGTGAGGGAATGTACGACCCATTACTCATCTGCGCCTACCGAGAGGAAGCCAGGGAAAGAGGCTGGCGTGTGTGTATTGGGTGGGCAGGGCCGGGGGGAGGGGGAGGAGGGGGAGGAGGGAGAGGAGGGAGAGGAGGAGCAGTGCAGCCGTGAAGGTAGGGGTGGGTGACAAGTCCTAACAGCCCCCGGTTGATGGGGCGGCAGTTGGGAAGAAACTGCCGGCAGCTGCCGACACTGAGTGACCAACTGGATCCTGACTGTTTCCCTCGGGGACCATTTCCCGCCCCTCAGGCCCCCTTGCTCGTAACGGTGCCGCAATGCAGACGAGGTACGACTTACGTTATGGCTGCAAAGTTCGATCAGAGAAGCAGGTGGCGGTGGCGGGAGGGGGACGGGCGGCGGTGGCGGCAGAGGGGACGGCGGTGGCGACGAAGGGGGCGGAGGAGATGGAGGCAATGACAATAACAGCGGCGGTGGCAGCTGTGGCGGCAGCGGCGGCGGCGGCTGGGAAATGCTCCTAGGCTTGATTGTCAACAGCGACACAGGTAGTGCGATAACTGTACGGATACACACACACAGAGGCAAAAGGGTAGAGGACACCGAACATTACGAAGAGGGCTGTAGCAGTCGTGGGGGGAGGGGAGGGGGTTCACGTGCGAATTGCGAACCCGACTCCCTTCCGGAGGAGTGTGGGGGCGCAGTGCAGTGTGGTGTAACTGTGTACGGCGGCTTGAGAGACGTCCTATGTGCAGCTGAACCTCTTAGCAGGAAGCGCCCCACCCACCCGCCGACCGTCTCGTTTGCGGCTATCCGAGCACACGATACCACGACAGTCCATCTGTCTGTCTGTCTATTTGTCGGTCTATACGCCTGTGACCACTCAAGTCCCCCCCCCGGCCCCAACCACCCCCTAGCAACCGCTGTGATATGGACAAATACTGGGGCTACAACTCGTGCAACATCACGCCACGTTGTAATCACCCACCTATGCCCCACCCCGCCCCGCCCCACCAACCCACCTATTCCCACCACCGCCACTGCCAGCCACGCCAGCACCACAACCTTCCACCTGACCGCCAGGTAGTCGGACAACCGCTCCATGCGGCCCCCCCCACCGCCCCCCGCTCCCCTGCATGCGGAGAGACGAGGGCGAGGACCGGCACGTCCAGGACATTCAGGGTGGCGGAGGCAGCCGCGGCAGCAACAGAAGAAACAGGGACAGCAGGAGAGCAACACCGACAACCGCAGACTAGGCTAGGTAGAACAATATCGGCAGCAAGCGGCGCGGGAGGAATTGCCTTGGGAGGGGCACGGGATGGGGATGGCCGTTACCGCAGCACGCCGGCGGAAGAGGGGGCGCACCCCGGGGGGGTCAGTGATGCCGCCACCGGGTGCCGGGGCGGGTAGCAGGGGAGACACCGAAAAGGAAGGAGACCCCACCAATGGTACTGTTTAGATTTGGGTTCATTATCAACGAAGGAATCAGCCACGGTGCTGTGCTCAGGCAACATGTCAACCGCTTCTGGGTGTCTGCGGTTGTTCTGTCCTGTTCTGTTGTTCTGTCCTGCATTACATCACATCACATCATAAGAAGTCGTCAATCACCGGGTCCAATAAGGCGCCAACTTCTGACCTACTTGCCGCCCGCGGAGATACCGCTCGAGGCCAGTAACCGTGTGCCGTCCCCATCGGCGAACTTGTCCGTGTATGTGTCGTACTGTGTGTCGTACCAGTCGCCAGGCGCACCGCCACTCGACATCTGATCATGGGCCCCTCCTCCTCCCTGGGAGGACGGCGCACCGGTTGCCCCACCTCCCGTCGACGAGGTGCCCCAACCGATGGGTTCGTACCCGCCGTGGACGCTGCTTTGAAAGGAAAGAAAATATCACGGGCAGGGAACGGGCACGTTATTAGTACGGCAATAGGAACCAGTCAACCGAACGACACATGGCATGAACCACATGCCCAAAGGAAGGACGCGAGGGGCTTTAAAACATAGGGCCAACATTGCCGATATGTATGCTGTCAGGTTAAGTGTACACGACGTTTGGGTCGGAGCCCAATATACAAAACATCCGCTTAAGAGACACGTATGGCCGGCACAAGGCCAACGTGCACGGGCAAAGCGTATCAGCGGGCGCGCTTGGACTGGGGACAAGTTGTCATCCGCTTTCCTTGCCAGGACCCAAATCACATAATGGGCTGCGCAACAGGATAGAGTTTTTCAAGGGGGGAAGCTTCCGGAGGCTGCGCCGCAAACCACCACCATGGCAGGTAGGAGGGCGATGCTCAGGCCAGCGCCACCAATCATCCCGCATTACATATGAGCATGATGAATCACCTTAGGTCTCCGGCCTTCCGGTCTGACAGTTGTATGTCTGCAAGCTCCACTTCGCCCTCCCTGCGAGGGCCAGCTAGTTGTGTAAAAGTATGCGCACCTCATAAACTACGCAACTGCTACTCTTGTTTACTTTCATGACGCATTGGAAGTCTCTTACCCTGGTGGCCTCCAATTTTGCCTTATCATGTTCTCGTTACGATTGTTGCAACAACGTTCCTAGCAGCGACGCAAGGATGGAAGGCACCTGTGCCTTAAATAGCAATCATACGTTTGCATATGCCAGCCTTTCAGCGCTTAGCAGGATCACAGTTCACTGGCACAGGTTCTGGATGGCATACAAAAACAATTATGCGTTCACCCGGAAAGGAAAGCTTGCGATAATGTCCGTATCACCTATAGGCTGAGGTGAAAGGGCTTAATTTGCATTGTCATTTCAGAATTCAGGATCAAGCGTGACGTGACATTTGCGCCAGTTGGCCAACCGTATGCATGGCCCACGCGAAGCCGTTCATTTGTGCATCGAGGTACGAAGCAATTCATATAACTTCTGCAGTAACTATGCATGAACGTTATCCTAGTTTGATGTGACTTCGGAATCTTGGCTCGATTTTCCTAATTTCCCAACCACCGGTACTGTAGCGTGATGCGATCGCAGTTGCAGCGTGCAAATGTCGCTGTATGGCAACGTGTCTTCTTAATTCATACCCTGAGGCCGGGCTTTAATTTGGATCTGCGCAGGTTACCGTGTCAGGGCCTTGTAAAAAGAAAGCACGCAGAAGTCCATGTGATCTATCCTTGGGTAGCCGTGGAAGCCGTGGAAAAATCTATTCACTTCTATGGTTGAAGGTGAAAGCCACCAAGCCGCACCCACCGTAATGTGCACGTGGACTGAACATAATGGCAAGCGTGCGATGCATACGAACTTTCGTCGACACGGCAGAGGAATTAAAGGGGCTACCCCACATAAAAGTCACAACTTGGCTTTACGTGTGTATCCCTACATGTATTAAGGAGGTCTAGCTAAGGTTCCAGGTTTGCAAAGTCGTCGTGTTACGTCGGGTTCGTGTTGGAAAGTGACCGACACTCATATATCAAAGAATGGTGACAGCAGTACAGGACCCGGGGGTGTCCGGCACTTTGCTGGTCTTAACAGTTCGCCGCTCCTGACGTTCTTGTGCTGCCCTCCTATCTCCAACCAGCCTCGCCCAGGGCACATGGTGCCGCATGGCTGGGGTCCATAAAATCGGCGCTTCTCCATCATAGCGTACGTTCTGCAGGGTCTGGTAAACAGCAGGGCTGAACAGGCTGGATGGGAGGGGAACCGTTACTTCAGCTTTCCATTACAGGTTCCCATACCGGGTACGAATTGTACAATAAAACGCACACTATCTCACACCGTGTTAACTGGATTCTCACCGTCAGACCTCTTCAAGTTTGTCTTCTAGTTTCTTCCGGCCTATGTTGACAGTGGCGGAATTTCCCAACTACGAAGCTCTCGAGGGCTCCGGACTCTTTAGGGTAGCTGGATGCCGGGCTAAACTGTGCCCCCTGCCCTCACCATTAAGACATGCACGTTAGTTAGGTCTTCTCGCGGACAATGCGAAAGCGGAACGGCGGTAACACGACCAACATGTCATGTGGGATGTAGAGACCACGGGGCATGGCATGCCGACGACTCTGGAAAAACGGGAAGGTACAGACAGGTACGGCAGCGTACGGACGCAACGTCTTACAGTTGCGAAACTTCGTTTAAATAACCAGCCACGCGAAAAAAATATGCAGCGGGTAAGCCGTACAACTACGATGTGACATCAGGCCTGATGTCATATCGTAGTTGTGACATTAGGCCGGCTCGGAGGACAAGCTACTTGAGCAGTCCTGCGTCTTCGCCACCACCACCAAAAAGGCCGAAGCATATTATTTGCTCCAAGCCTGCTACAAACAAAATACCCACTATCAGGTTTGCGCGCTTAGCGTTGAACGGTTAACGCTTGGACGCCGTCCTGCTGCGCTGCGCAGGAGACATCCATACATATGAAGCCCTTTGCTGCCGCCTTAACGTTCCGTCCACAATTCCACAGTGGCCGCCTCCGTGTCAGTTCAATAGGGGGAACAACGCTTCCCCATACACATCATCTTCGTGATTCGGCGTACGAGAACAACCCCTTAGAATATGAAGCACCGGTCAACCGACAGGCGGCCAGGCTGCAGGCTTTATTCACCACATGCACGCGGCGAAGGTATGGTCGCGAGACATCGGCACACACTCGATGCTCCACATTGTAACTTGTATTCCCGCATTGCACTTCGCAAAGCTCGCGTTGTCCAGCTAAGTCGGGCATAATCGCATTTTAAACATAATCGGCCGATGATGGGTTGATACAAGAGGATTGCTAACCTTGCCTACAAACGAAACGATACTTTCGCAGGGGCGAGGAGACACCTTCTCGACCCCAACCAAATCTGGAATGAATCAGCAAATGCGCTCGACTACCTTGCCACGCCCGTCATCCAAAAAACACATTCTATACCCGCGAAAGAAATACAAGACCTTTGTAGGGCAGGAAAACTAACAGATATTGAACTTCCCTAGGAAAAGCTCTAGGAAATAACCTGATAGCTGTGCACAGCCTTACCTGGCCGCATACCCCCAGCATACCCCAGAGGGATACCCCCTTAACACAGCATCAGCGAACGATACTTCGGATGCTCACAGGTTCATAATGAAACCCGCATGGGGTCGCGAACACCCTACTCGCCCCGCTGCTGCGACCGCCTGGCATCGAATGGACGACAGCATGCAGCCTTCGCTTCGCCTCTTTCCCAACTCCCCTCTCTCACTCTCTCTTGATGCTGTTTCAACATGCAACATGCAGCAACCACCAGCTTCGGGATATGCTAATGAGGTTTTGCAACTCCCCAATGTCCACGTCGACAGCCTGTACTACCTCCATAAACACAGTAACCCTAAGACCTGACAGATGGAGATAACGAGGTAAGCGGCAGCGAGCATCCGCTGATGCTCTGGCGGCATGAAGTGCGGGTGTGTGGCAACTTAAAGCAGTTCCCACGTCCCCAATGGCAGGCCCACCTCCAACCCTGATGGCAATCTCCGGGAAGGCAATATGGACAAAAACTAAAACCCGCAATCCCGCCATAGGGCAGCTCCCAACCCAAAACCTTGGACAGCGACATGCCCGCGGAAAACCAAGCTTCTAATTGCGGCGTCAAGTAACTGCATCGTGACGGATACGATGAGACGGTCTCAACCGCAAGCGGCCCTTTATTCAGCTCACGTTCAGCGTAATGGACTTCTACATAGAACGCTTAGCCTTGAGCATCAACCCCTTGCAACACCATAAGACTATTTTCGTGCAGCAATGCTGTCCATGAATGCATCGACGCGTGTTACATCAAAAGCCATGATCGTAGCTACCGCAGGACCGCCGACACGCTCTGCTGATTATGTGGCTGGCTCACCCAAGAAGAAGAAGCTCAGGCGTACATGGCCAAGGAGACCTTCCTTCCTTCCTTTCACCGCGCAGCTCTACGGCGACGACTGGTAATAGAAAGTTGAGTTCTAGACCTAAAAAATGACATGGTGTTGAGAGAGCTTTTCCCACGCACGAATGGTCGCAACCCGTCATCGTCATCGTCAGCAGCACTCTGTACCATCATCCTATGACGTCATCCGCAGCATGGCAAGATGCGGGGGGCAACGAACAATGTGCCCAAACACGTCCAAGCTTTCGGCTTTCCGCCAAGACGTGCGGTGCTAGACCAACAAGACGCCACCTGCCCATCCACCACAACCTGGCTTGCACAATACCATTGCTGTATTGCCAGCAGCGCCATGCCAACCATACCTCTTGCCTTCCGATAGAGTAAGTATGTCCACTTTAAGCCTCCGACAAGCTGACAAGGCTGTTTGCCGCGATAAGGACCTTCCACGTGGGGATGCCGGTGTGGCAGCCTGTCATCTTGGAAGAATGAGCACATCATCCAAACAACTAGCATCGCCACCAGCACACCTAACCGCTCAACTCGCCCGCGCATGCGGCATCGTAGGTCATGAGTCGAAGCTCCTCGCAGATTTCCGCAAAGGTAGGCCGGGCGGCAGGGTCTTGCGACAGGCACCGCATGGTCAGGTCGTGGTAAGGCGGTGGAGGCTGATGTGTGGGCAGGAAGCGCAGCCCCGCCGCTGCTGCGCCGGTGACCGCGCCCAAGATCTGCAAGGGCGGAGAGGTAGGAGCAGGACAGCGGCGACATGTCATATACCCGAGTGCAGAGCGTGGATTGAGGTGCAGGCTATAAAGGAAAAAAACGTGTAAACGGACAGTCGGCATGTGTGCATGGGTGTCTCCGCTGCAGGGTTCGACACCCCGTACGGGGCCCGTAAGTTTTTGGCCTTTTTTCGGTATCCCCGTAAGGGCCCGTAGGACTTTACGGTGGCCCCCGTAAGGATTTTGGGGCGCGAAGCGCCCCCGTACGGGGCCGCCCCCGGACCGGCCGAAGGCCGGTTACGGGGGCCTCCGTAAGGATTTTAAGGATTTATAAGAGGCCGTTCGGGGCCCGTAAAGTCCCCCGTAGGGGAGAGGACGGTCCGATTGCCGACTGCCGTGCAAGGTTGTAGTACCCTTTGACCATATAAAGGATAAGGCCACACACTTGGCAGACATAATTCATATTGCAATATTTAACTACACTTTTCATAGTACTTTTATAACTTCTGGTCTGTAACATACAGCGATGGCAGACAAGGAGTCGTCAGGAGGTGACCAAGGGCCTCCTAAGCCACCGCCCTCCAAGAAGCGCGCCACCTTAAAATTGTCGGACCTGAGTGTGCCGTGTCCCCGAGTGTAATGGTTCACGAGAAAATAACGAAAATAACGATTTACAGGGCAAAAAAGATGCAAAGCGTCACTTTCCACAGCGTTTCAGCCAAGGACAGTGCCCCCGTAAAGGTTTTGCGGGGGTTACGGGGGCCCCCGTAAGGTTTTCGGCGGTACAGGAGCCTGGTACGGGGGCCCCTCCGTAAGGAAAATTTGGGAGGTACGGGGGAGCCCGCAAGTTTCAGGAAGGTCAGTGTCGAACCCTGCTCCGCTGCCAATGCAGGGCACAGATGTTCTGATTCAGGAGCAGTTAGTGGATTGGATTTCCGGACGGCGGAATCATGGGATGGATACGGCAAAGGAGTCCACTCGTAGAGGGATATGTCCCCTTGTCTCCTCCGGCACCCCTACCTGGAAGCGATTCATGTTCGCCCACGGACGCGACCCGGTGAACATCTGCCATAGCAGCACACCGAAGGAGTAGCAGTCCGCTTTCTGCGGGTGGGAAGCAGGAGCCAAGTGGGGGCGCGTGTTGGGTCCGAATAGATATTATTTGGAGGGAAGTCAAGGCCTCAATAGCCCAGGGGCCAGGGAGCGATGTGACCGCACTAACCGACTACGTACCGCACTAACCGACTACGTAGATCCCATTGTGAACCGGTACAAGTCGCCAGCTCCAAGTCGACGCAAAGCGCAAAGGGACGCCAAATTGGCGAACGACCGCGTACCTGGGTCTGGATGTGGGACTTGAGCACCTCGGGCGCGCAGTGCGTAATGACACCGTAGGCGGAGCTGATGCAAGGCTGCGCGGGGTCGGGGAGGGTCTTGGCCAGCCCGAAGTCCGAAACCTGCGAGTGGGTGCGGATTCAAGAGCAAATCCAAGAGCGGATTAAAGACCACAAAGACCGCTGGACTGCATTATGCGTTGGCAACTGCATGCAACGCGGCACCCTTTTCCCTGCGCAGCCTCTTCCCAGCCCCGAACCCATTTAAACTAGCCTTTGGCATTAAGACACCCAGCCGCTTCTTACTCCAGCCCACGACAGCCCCCTCGCAGACTCTCTTCCGCGACAGGACAAACCTTGGCAATCCAGCCGCGGCCCGTGGCCCCACTCGGCAAGCCGCCGGGGGCTTCTGTCAACAGCACATTGACCGCAGAGAGGTCACCGTGCAGGTAGCCCCTGCGGTTGGGAGCGAGTGGGATCTCAACCATGAGGACGAGGCAACCGCAACTACAAGAAAGAGGGCCCCGGATCGAGTGGTAGCAATCCTGGCGCGCAGGCAACAGGAGAGGGGCGGGCGACGTACGTCAACGCAACAATGCATGCCTGTATAACGCCACATTTAACTGCACCTAGATTCTTCACATGTGCCGTACCTGCTGTGGACGCAGGCCATGGCCGACGCAATCTCCTGGGCCGTCAGCAGGATGTACGGCATATGTGGCTTGCCCGTCAGCCGCGACGGCTCCGTCCGCAGCCGGCCCGAGTCAATCGCGTCCTGCAGAGTGCCGCCACCACAAAACTCCTGTATGATCCAGGTCTCACCCTCCGACAGCGCGTCATTCGGCATGCGGCTGTTAAGCCTGAGGGACGCGTCGGCCGCACTGGCCCCCGCGGCGGATGCAGTAGCAGCAGCAGCAGCCGCTGCAGCTGCTGTCGCCGCCGCCGTACTGAACACCTCGGTGGCGGTGCCAAAGAGGTCCGCGGGGCTTGTGACGCCAGGCGGCACTCGCGGCGCCTCCCGCCCCGGCGCTGCAAACATCGCCACCATCTGGTCCACGTTGGAATTGGCGTTGGAGGTCGAACCTTGGGTCATGACACCGGACTGTACCGTGGCGCAGCTGCCGGCCGCGAGCATCAATCGATCTGGAATGGCAGTGAGGTGCGGCGCAGGCGCGTGGCTGGCCGCCGACGGGAACCCGGCGTGAGAGGCCGCTGACTGGGGCACATGCACCGCAGGGCCCCCCGACACTAGCTGGTCAATCATGCCGCCCGCGTCCTGCATGTGCGAGACCATATGGGTTGTGAGAAAGCGGAAAAACGATTCCCAACATGACACACAAGGTCTTTGGCGCCAAGCTGATACAAACATCCCCACAGACTGGGTTTACGGATCAGGCTATCACACCGCACCTCAGCGCCGCCTGCATCGAAAGAGTCATAGTCCTCATCCTGCATTGCCGCCTGAGCCGCTGGTGCCGGTGCTGCCGCTGCAATTTGCACGGCTGGCGCCACCGGCCCTGCAGCCGTGGGCCCTACCGTCGACGCCGCGGTTGCCGAGGCTGTGCCTGCCGCCGCCACCACTGATTTGCTTCGTTGTCCCATGCCAGCGGGGTCCATGGTGTCAGGAGAACAAGGCCCGGCCTCGGACGGGCGCCCGGGGGTGGGTCTTGTCCTCGGCCCGTCAACCCCGTCGCTGGGGCCACTTGGCAACACCGAAACAGCCGAAGACGTCGGCGGAGGCACCGTACTACGGTGCGACACCATGCTGCAACTGCCACCACGCTCCGACGGGGCCGTGTAGAAGGCAGCGTTCTGCCCGCTATTGCGCACGCTCATGCAGGCCGTTGAGTGCTGTTTATCTGGCTTGTACGACCGTACGATACATTTGTATGTGCGGACAATATAAGGATGCTCAATCTCCTGCGCTAGCAATGCCTCCAGCGTGACGCCGTTAAGGCAGGTCGCGGACTTCAGCATTGCGTTGCTGATGACCTGTCACATCACATCATGCCACATCAAATGGGAAGAAACAAAGCAGGGCTTTATATGAGGCGGAAAGCGGAGTCGCAACTCAGATAGCAACTTGTCACCCACATGCTGCTCTTTCCCCATTGCAAAGCTAGCCAAGGCTCGCGGGAGTCTCCGGAAAGGGAATCAATGCGGACGGCGCCGGATCCCTTCCCTGCAACCAGGACCCTCATCCCTGAGGGCTGTACTACAACTGCCCCCTACGAGGCACAACTCGTACTGCCGCTGTTGCGCAATCGCTGATCTCGCAGCCGAACTACCAATAGGGTGCGTGGTTAGGTCAGGTCAGGTCAGGTCTCAAGGGCAGCTTCCATGACGCGCACCTTCGCTGCAATCTTCTGGCCCTTGTAAGACCCCATGAACACCCTCCCGTAGCCGCCCTTGCCCAGGAGATGTCCCAGCTTCAGGCCCAGGAAGGGCTCCATGCCGTACGTCCAGTTGCTGATGCCCTGCGACACACACGAGCGCATGGAGGCCCTGGCGGAGGCGGTCACTGAGACCGGGCCGCGGGTGCCGTTATCCAGGGAGGGCCACCCACAGTACGACACCGACTGAGCCATGGGGGAGGGCAGCATTGCCGGGGGCGACAGGGGTGCCGCAGCGCCGGCAGGATGGAGGCATGTCGATGGAGACGGCGTTGAGGGCACTACTGGTTCGTGCAACAAGGCCCGGCTGCCTTCACCGGTGCGGCCAGGACCGGTGTTGCAAGCAGCGATTTGGTGCGTGGTTTCCGAGCCTGCCGCCGGCAGGAGATTCTGCACTTTCTGGTGCGGCTCGCCAAGTTCGCTTTCCACGCCCGCGTTCTCCCAAAACTCCACATCCGCAGCAGCCCCGTCTACCTTCCTGAGTGAAACAAAGCAGTAGAAGGGTTCGTAGGATGTCATTCCGTCGGCTGAATCTACCGCCGAGGACTTGCCGGTGGCCTCGGCCATCTGGGCCTTTCCCTGCCCCTCATCGCACGTGGAGGCTGGATCTGTTGCATGCTGATTCCCCGCCACCAAAATGGACGGGGGCAACGCCATGTGGTGAGGTACGCCGACGGGCATTCGCACAGCTGCGTCAAGCACGTGGCAGTTGGCAGACCTGGGGCCAGAGGGGCGCGGGCAAAACACCAGAGGGCAATGAATAGCAGCCAAAACATTCTCACGTAGCCATTCCTTCTCCAAGCGCTACAAGCAATGCGACATCTGGGTACCAGTTAGCAAATCGGTAGGATACCCCTGGGAGCTATTACCCAAACCCACCCTAGGCCGCAAGACCAGCGCGGAAGCGCAAGGTAAACGGTAAAGCAACCGGACCCAAGCCGACCGTTGCTCGCGGTACATACCCCAGAAATTGAACAACTGTCAACATGCATGTCTATAACCTCGGCGCGTGTGCCACATCTGCCCAGTAATCCTTCCACAAGAGAAAGATGCAGTCTGGAAGCACAATGGGCCGATACCAAAGATCAGCAAACCCACGTCGCACAGTCCCCCGTCACGGGAGACGGTCTACCATGCCCTCATCAATTACACACACACACGCCCCTGTCCCCCGTTCCCCCCCCGGAGTTGCCGTACCACAATCCCCACCTGGCGGTTACGTGCATTACCATCGTCGAGGGCCGCCCATCCTCCAACAGCACCCTCGCCCTTCCTAGCTCCACCTCCTTTCCCGTGCGCAGCGCCTCAGCATGGCGCTGCCAAGCCCCTCCTCGCCAGGCTGCCGACTGATCGACCTGCTGCTGGCGCCACTGCCGCCGCTCTGCCGCGGGCACGTCCATGGACTCGTCTCCGCGCATCAGAATGCCCTGCATTTCGCCACCGCTGCTCGACGTGGCGCTAGGGTAGCGGTTGGTGCAGCAGCTGCCACTTGTGTGCGTGGAACTGGAGCCATGGACCATCACACCCTGTGCTCCAGTCTCCTCAGCCTTGCACCCCGAGATCGCCGCTTGGATGCCTTGGCCCTGTAGCTGGGCATGACCTGTCATCGGGCCCACCTGCATGTCCCTGTCATCTGCTGAGCAAGCCGCAGTAGCTGCCGCACCCATGGGCTGCCCAGCCGCTGCAGTAATGGGAGCAGCGGCGGCCGCATGGGCTGCTGGCTGCCAAGAAGGCGGCTTGTTGCGCGCCCCCTCCTCATCTCCCTCCTCCAGAAGCAGCAGTCGCTGCAGTGGACGACCCACCAGCTGCTTGCGGGTCCAAGGAGAGCACAATACCTCCCATGCCTGCCACGACACGGCACCGAAGGGAATCGTGAAACCTTCGCATTTCAAGAACCGGCGTGCTGAGGACCCCCAAGATATCGCACCTCAGGCCGTATCGCTCCAAGTAACGAGAGTTTGATTGTTACAATACATGTTTGGTTGTACATGACACAGTGGCCCTGATGTTTGGTGCTGAAACATACAGCGCACGAGGCCGGGCTATGTTATTATCTGGCGGCTTTCGGTCAATGCCCTGTTTTCGGGTGTGATGCCCGCTACCCGCCGCCAGTCACTGGAGGAGCCGCACTACGCACACGTACCTCATTAACGTACATCAGCATCCAGCCGTCCGGCAAGCTGATGTCCACGAGACCCGTGACGGTGTCGTAGCACTCAATGGTCCGGGCCACACGAGCAAGAGCAGTTGTCTCCGCATCTGCACCCGCAAGGAAACCACCGCACAACCACATGAACAACTTACGACGGGACCCGCTTTGCATTTCTATCATCTTCCGAAAGCCCCTTCTCTCCGCAGTGCCCTCGACGATAGTTCCTTGACAGCTTGGATGGGGAAAAAAGCTCGTCTGGGTCAGCGCCAGTGTGGTCTTACGCATGCGGGAGAAATCATACTTACACTCACATGCTCTCCTTATGAGAACTGCGCTGCCCTCTAAGTCCCCTGTTTCCGCTTGCTGGTGTCCCAAACGCACCGTCGGGGCCAGCAGGGCCCGCATTGGCGCGGTACCGCTCCAGCTGCCGCACCAGCAGCTCCGCCAAATTGTTCATGACATAGCAGTGCGACACGTCGAAATCGGACCGCGGCTTGTCGTCCGCGAAGCAAACGGTGCCTAAGATGTGGCCCGACGTGCTCACCAGTGGCGCTCCGCAGTAGAAGCGCACGTGCGGAGCACCGCGGACAAAGGGGTTGTCGGCAAACCTGTCAGGCAGATGGCGACCCATTGCATACAATTTGTGGCAGTTGCATGGTCATGGGTGTGCGCAGGGCAGCGGCGGCAGAACTACCGGCCCTAGCACTCCCATACTTGTCGCTGCCATCTGGGCCGCTGCCTTGCTTACAGCACATGAAAGGCGTCAGGTCCGGTGCCCGCACAACGTATTGTAAAGCACTCGTGCACTCGCCCCGGCAACAGGCATCCCACTGCGCGACCCACATCCTAACCTGACGTCCTTGGTTGCGTCCGGGACAACAAGAGTCTGCGGCCTGTGCTTGGTTAGGGTGTACGCACAGAAGGACCACCTGCACTCAAAGAAAGCGGCAAAATGCATTAAGGGATGCCTGCCCCAGCGGGAGCTCCCGTGCATGGGTAGCAACCCTCCAAGCATAGGAGAAGGTGCATAAGAAGCTGCGTTGCCGTGATTTGATTGCCCATACTTGGTAACGTGTAACCCTCGTGTCCGGTGACAGATCAGGCTGCCAATACGCCGCAACACACGCACAGGCCCAGCACACAGACCAGCGCGCTGGAAGTCGGGAACTGGGCCGATCCACACGATGTCAATCAGTTTACGTCCTGTCAAATTATCCCGCTACCTGCAACGGTTACTAAAGCATGTCTAGTGGCTCAGCACGTCATGGGGCCGTTACTAACCCCTGTCCCCCCAATAACCTTTTAATTGACACGCGCTTCGCCGCTACCCCTTACCGGTATGGAAACTCCCCAGGCTTCATGCAGCCCTTAGCGTTTCGGATAATGATCCGCGTGTCGTCAAACAATACTAACATCGCCGTTATGGCGCTGAACATCTGCATGAGCGCCCCTAACACCATATCGGCCTCCTCATCTATACGCATCCCACGGCCATGTGACACTGTGTCAAGGATATCCAAGGCCCGGAGCGCCTGTATGCGCGACGGCTCGTCATCCGTTGAAGGCGGTCCGAACTCCCACGAGAGCGGGTAACCCTCGCTGCTCATGAACGTCGTTGGCAAGCTGCATGTGGTCGCTGTTGCTGTGAGGGCATCGCTGGCTTGCACAGTTTCATTGACCGGGTCGTGGACATCGCCAACGGAAGCTGGAATTAGGCAAGTGCCCGGTGTGGGGATACTCTGGACGTCACATGCTGTGTCGATGCAGGTTACTTCATCTCGTCCCTTGAAGACGGGGACTATCGTTACGTCCCCCACATCGTTTTGGTGCCCCGAAAGAGTGCAGACCGCTTCCGCTCTAGCTTTGACGGGAGCCTGGGGCAATCATAATAAGGTACGATAGCACATATATGAGACGCATAAAAGCCTTCCTGTAAAATCCAAGAAGCCCAGATACGCCGCAGAACTGAAACTCTGCGATAACAGGTTGTGGGACGTGTGCATTCGCTAACCACGATTACCTCAAAGTCCTCTGCCTTCGGCGCCTTCAGGCAGGATTGCGCGAGTCCCATAGCTGCAGGCAGCGGCCAGCAGACCTGGGCGCACCCAGTCGTGGGCAAAAACTTAAACACAAGGAAAAACTTTTGCGCAGATAGTGCCTACTCAGGAAAATTAAAAAAGCAAAACGTGCCATGTCTTGATATCATATTAATTTCGCAGTCAGTGATATAGTACAGTCATTCCGTCTGAAATGCGTCTGCTTGCCGCCTGTATACATAAGACAATGAACAATCACTGCGCTTTTAAAACCAATCGATGCCGAAGTGCATTAGGGATAAAGTTCCTGGCATGCAATCATGCTGTACGGGGATACCAAGTTACAAAAAGCCGGAACGCTGGACGAGAACTGGACGAAACTCATTATCCCAACGCATTTAATAAACTGCGCTCGCACACAGGTAATATCTCATCTCCCATCGCGGCCAAGCAAAGCTCGTCCTTTCCAGTTAGCAATGGCCCCTTAAACGCCCCAAGAGGACATCATGAAAATGAAAAAACTGTTACCGCATTTCCCTGCATGCGCTGATTCGTATTTACACCTTTAATATGCCACACATGCCAACCTGCGTTAAGTAACCACATCACCTGACAGTCACATGCAGGCTGCATTTCTTGCAGAGCAAAGCTGCAGCCGATTTCAGCTTGCATCAAAGCTTCACATCGATCGTCATATCATCTTCCATGTCCATGGACTCAGGCGTTTCTGTAGGCATTTTTGCGAGGTCATCGCCGTCGAACAGAAACCTGCGCCAGGGACATAACCGTGCCTTAACGCCGCAACACAAAGCATAACCAGCAAGGCCTCCAACCACTGACCACATAGTGTCTTAGGAGTGTCCGACAGCGCATTATGAACACAGCACGCAATACGCAGCAAGCAATACGCAGCAAGCAATACGCAGCAAGCAAGACGCCTAGCGCGTTTTCGACCACCGTGACCGAGTCAAAACTTTCGCCGCATCAATCCAACTCACTTGATTTTGTTTGGGTCGCGGCAAATGGACCGTTCCATGGCATATGCCTTGAATTTCTCTATCATCTTCGAGAAGGGATCCGTCTTGACCACTCGCATTTTGACGCTGTCGTCCTTATCCCGGCCCCAAACCAGCTTGAGCTGCACCCTCGCGCCAGCGCCGTTAGCAACGTTATCATCCTGTGCTACCGTGGGGTCCTCCTGCCCAAGGCCGTTTTGGGCCGCAGTGCTGCCCAGCACCGGAACATCCGCAGCAACGACAAGATCATCATCGTCGCTCAGATACGGTGCACTGGTCGGTTTAGCAGCCCCAACACCAGATACGTCTACCGCCATCGGCCGTCGGCTTGTGAGGCGAGACAGGCCCAGGTGCGACACGGGAGAGATTGGAGATGCCTCCATGTCGTCATCCTGCTGGTCCTCTCGTTCTGTAACTTGCTGCAGTGCCCGGAGGAGCTCCTCCTCCCTTGCCAGCGATTCTCGCGTCGCGGGGTTCAGAGTTGCCACTCCCGGCTTGGTTTGGCCTCCTGGTTTGACAGCAGGGGGTTCTGCAATCCGGGCGGCACCGGCGGTCCCACTGACGCCTGCAGCGCCGCTGTGATTGGCGTTGACCTCTGGTGACGTTATCAGGACAAGGTCATCGTCTTCACCGCTATCGTCCAGCAAAATAGTTGTGGGCATGGGGGCAGGCCTGAGCTCCAGGGAGGTGGCTGGTGGAGCTGCGCGGCGCTTGCTTGCCTTGGTGGACTTCCAGCCGGCTTTACGCTTGTGGGTGGTAGGACCGTCGTCCTGCGGGGGGGCCTCCCATCTTCCCCCGTCGCCTTGATCGTCATCATCGTCATAGTCCCACAGATCGCTCATGGCTGGTGGGTGAGACGCGAAAAGTTCTGCGGGGCGCAAAGCCTACCGAGCTGTATCTCTGTCGTCCGGGATGACAGCCCCACAGGACCACGGAATTTGCCCTTGATACATGAGCGGCGTACGAAAAAGGGTACTGTTGAAAGTTGCGGGGATGCAGGGAGGGGGCATAGCAGACAGGGAGTGACTGGGGCAGTTCCTGCGTCCCCAACCACGGTTAGCCGGGATGCGATGGCTGTGACCTTGGAGGAAGCACGGTTATTGTGCTGCATATATCTTGCATCTAAGTATTGCGAGCTGAAGGTAAGACTAAGGATGTCTTGGTGCTTGGGCTCATTGAAAGGGCCCAGCCACAGCCACTGCTCACAAAGGAAGCTGAATCAAGTTGCAGCTTGTGTCAGTAGTCACAAGGATTGACTCACTCCAAATTGAGCGTCTCGAGCAGCTCGGTAGTTGACGACTCAGGCGAGCCAACCACAAGCACTCTGGGCTCCCCTTACTATTATTTTGTGATCGAGTATAGAGTTATGGCTGGATCTTGGATGGGAACTAGGTCAACAGTTAAAGTTCTTTCCGGAAATGCTACACACGTTCTTGTGATACTAGGACCAGCTAGACATATTCACCTCCATAGTGGCATCGAGCACGATATGGGCAATTGCACAGCATGCATGTGGTGAATGCTAGTCGGATTCCAAATGGATCCTAATTGGATCCTAACTTCGTAAATGGATAATAACAGTGAAAGGCACCGTCTGTCGTAGCTTTGTTACGGTAGCGATGCATCATTCCTATCACTTGGCCATGCGTGTTCTTCCTGTTAGGTTCTGGAATGCTGAAAGGCCAAGGTGGGCCTTTCCGAAAACGTATGTGTATGGACTCTTCATTTGGTAATGAACTTGCTACGCAAAGACATGCCTTAAGGCGTTACTACGGAAGCGCTACGCTAGCCATTAACTCACTTGAGCGTAAGGTAGCGGATGATGAAAGTATCAGCAACTTGCGTGCCATCCATCGAATGTGCGCAAGGACTGCTTCCGGTGATTCGATGAAGTGTTTGGGCCCAGATAGTCGGGGATGGTGGTGGAATTGTGCAGGCGCTTGGAAAGATATGATAAACATTCGGTGAGAACCCGGGACCCCGTTACCAGCAAAGTGCCCGATGCCCATAAGGCCACCTGGAAAGCCAAGCATCGGCCGTTAAAGAATAGTAGCCAGGAAGACGAGCTGGGCTTTGTGCACAAGAAGCTCTCTGATGCTCGTACCAATCGAGGGGGGAAACCACCGCCTTGCGTGATCAGTGATATGTACATGCTTGTGCAGCATTTGCATAATGTCGTCAATGGCGCTGGCGACGGTAGGCGCGGATTCAAGGAAGAGGGAAATGTCCTATTCAACCACATCGCTCGCTGTGATGGTTTCGTGCCCGGGGAAAGCTGTGCTAAACGAGGATTACAGGCGCCTGAGGACAGCAGTGGCAGCTGGGTGGAGGCCAACATCATCACGCACCACCGGGGAAAGGCCGCATGGCTTTACTCGGACCTCACGGAAGCTGAAGATTGTCGCGGAGCTGAAGGCAATGCGTAAGAAATAATAAATTATCGGGCTTGGAGGGGATCCCGCCGAATATTATAAGGACGCGGTGAAGGAGTGTGAGGGACAACAGCCTGTGCACTTGTTGGCACCATACATGACAGCACTGTTTAATGTGAATTTTGAAGGTGCTATGACTAATCCCATGGTCCAGGAACAGCGTGCATACATGCGAACCGTAGTTGGGGCGAGGAGCCCGACTATGGTTTCCCTATATCGCGAGCTGTCACAGAGGCCACTCCAGTTCCATTGGAGCAATCTTGTACTTAGGTTTTGGAACTCTGTGGTTAAGAGGCCGGGAACGCTGTGTCACCGGGCATTTGTCGCTGACCTGGAGTTGGCACTTGGGGGCGTCACTGAGTGTTGGGCAAGCAAGGTACTAGCCTTTCTTACTAGCTTAGGAGCGGAACCCCCCAGTAATACGCGCGGTAATGATCTTATAGCGTACTACGCCACCCTTAAATTGCCAGTTGAGAGCTTTCTTAAGGTATTTGCCAAGCGGCTTGATGCTCGGTGGGAGTGCCCGAATACCTTGGGTGACCCCCGCGTCTTCCCCATAGGAATTACCGGAGCCAAGGCGTGTCGCTATATGAACTGGATGGGAGCTGCCCCGTCTAGGGGTGCGCGTCTCGATTGGTTGGAGCACACTAAAGGGACCATGCCCCAGCGACTTCATCATGTGCTCATGCGTTTTCGATTAGGCTGCTGGGAGTTAGAGGTTAATAGGCCTAATGGGTGTGAGTGCACCGCGTGTACCTGCAGGCTTTGTGACTGTGGAGCAGTTGAAGATGAGTTGCATGTTTTCGAAGAATGTCCCGCTTACATGAACATACGGGCTAAGTATGATGGTGAACTAGTCCTTACGGGGCGCAGCATGCGCACCATTATGACTGAGGCGCCACCCCTGGCATTGGCCAGGTACCTCTCGGAAATTTGGGAGGCCAGGCACGTCGCGCTGAGGCGCTTCGCCCTGAAGCGGACGAGGGAGAATGATGATGGCCTCCCGTGTACCCGCATCAATACCAATACAACGTCCATGGGCCCCCCGGCTTTTACGGACACACCCGCACTTGTGTGCGGAACTTGTAACTTGTAACTTATTTAACAGCGCACACAGGGCTGATTACCCGACCGGCAAGGTTTTGGCATCGTCATGCAAATTGACTTTAGCAAGGCTTTTGACTCCGTAAATCACGAGACGCTTTGGCAATTTTATAAGAATCCTACGGGCTACAGGGACGTATCCTCGATGCCCTCAAGGCTAGCTACGCCGATGTTTAAGTCCGAGTTAGGTGGCCGGCTGGGGCCCAAATGCTCGGCAGGACGCGTACTCAAGCAAGGGTGCCCGTTAAGCGTTACCCTGTTTTTGCTTTTCATCGAGGTATTTGCTCATTACATCGATGCCCATGACAAGGATTGCTGGCTGCACCTCCATGATAGGTGGCCCGTACTGCAGGACCAAAACGTGACACTGGGGGACAGCAAAATCCAATGTGCTCTTTGTCGGTGATTTGTCGCTCATAACCACAAGATACAAGTGGGCGCAATGCTCCCGGCTTGCTCGAGGCTTTTTGCAAGGCGACTGGGATGGCTGCTAATGCTGCTAAGCGTGAGGTGAGGAACGGCCAGCGGTTTGCCGCCTGCACTATTCGCGGCAGGGAAGTGAGCCACTTTTGGCCTCACTGCTCTCTGTTGTGACAAGAAATTACCGTACGTAAGCTCAACATGTCCCTCTATAATGTGCTAGTCGTGCCTGTCCTTTCCTCCAGGGAGCAAGTGTGGGGATCCGGTTTTGTTAATTTGAACTTCGAGAGTGTCATGACTAATCCCATGGCACAGGAACATTGTGCGTTTATGCGGACGGAGGGGCCAGGAGCCCGACTGTGTTTTTGCTGTACCGCGAGTTGTCACAGAGGCCACTCAAGTTTCATGGGGCTAACTTAGTGCTAAGGTTCTAGAACTCCGTGGTGAAAAGGCCGGGCACTCAGTGTCATAGAGCTCTTGTCTTTCAGTTGGCGGTAACACTGGTTGTTGGGCGAGCAAGGGGTCATAACACTTGTTACCAGCTTGGACATAGGGGGCCCGCACTGATTTGTGTGCGGACGACCCGATTGCGCATTACAATACCCTCACACTGCCCGAGGGAAACGTTCTGAGGGTGTTGGTGAAGAGGCTTGACGCGCGTTGGACGTGTGAGAATACCTTGGGTGGACCCAGGGGGTTCCCCACCGGGGTCAAGGGGTTGTTACCAAAATTGTAGTGGGGCACCACCCTGTGAGGGGGCGCACGGAGGCCGCCCTTCCACAGTGATTGCGCCAAATCCTTATGCGCTTTAGATTGGCCAGTTGGAATTAATAAGGCCATGAATGTGCGCGTGCAGCATATACCTGCAGGCTTTGTGATTGTGGAGCAGTGGAAGACGAATTGCATGTGTTTTTCGGAATGCCCCGCTTATGATGGCTTCAGGGCTAAGTATGCGAGTGAATTCGGGTTTCAAGGGCACAACACGCGCACGATTGTCCTATGGGCCCCCGCTGGCATTACCTAGCTTTCTTTCCGAGGTCTGACGGACTAGGCGCACAGCGCTCCGGCGCTTTGTACCCAAATGGGAACCCGACACCGCAACATAAACTTTCACCGACGGTCCATGTGGCCCCCGACTTTGATGGACCCCTCCACACTTGTGTGGACACTGCAAGTGTAGCTGTAGCCGTAACTAGCATCGCCTACACCGACATATGTTGCTTTTGCATCATTACGCTTTTCATACCCATGGGTATGGAGCCGCTAGTAACCAAATAGCCAACCCTATTCAGCAACCTTGGCGGGTACTTTCAGCTACACAGGGTGCTCACGGCCCACGGTGTATATCTTTGGCCCACACCTCACTCCCCACTTTGGATCGCGTCCACAGAGCCTACGATACCCCGAGAAGTCCTCATATGCCTGGGACAATTCCTGGAGCGATGTGAGTGAAAAGGTCCAAGGGCCTAAAAAGCCCTACATCTCTACCCTGGGCACGCCTGTTTGTCTGTCTGCATGCGTGTCCCTCAAGATGCACCACATTCCCCATCCCCTGGCGGAAAGGCCCAACCTGCAGGTCCCTACTGAAGGACACTGGGTAGTAGGGGATTACCCAAGTCCAGGAGCATGCGTGTGTGTGTGTGTTACATGGTTAGGGTTGCGTGACCCCATACCTGTAAAACTACCCATATGGGCCGAAGGCCCAAGGGCAGCATCTATACGCCTAAAAGCCACGGAGAACAGAGAACACCGCACTATCAGGCCAGACTAGCGCCCAAAGGGGATAACTGAGTTGCGGTGAGCACACATATGTTCCAACGTCCTAGCCAGACGTACTGGTTCCCATTTCATGGCCTCCAACATGGGCTCCAACAGGGGCATGCGGT